CCCCAAAACCCCAAAACCCCAAAACCCCAAAACCCCAAAACCCCACTCCTAAGAAATCAAGTTGATTTTATTTTAATTACATATTTGCAAAGCTCTAACCCAATGGCGACCAGAAGGATTGATATGAGTTATCTCCAGCCTCAAATCCCAAAGCAGGAGTCTCTATTTCGTCTTTCAAGTAAAGACAGGAAAAGGAGGTTTAAAATGACAAAATCAGTCCTAAATCAGTACCTTCAAGCAGTAATTTCATATAGAAACCGAACTGTTCAAGAAATACAGCTGCAGAGAAGTAGAGGAAATCGCCCTGTAGGTATTCTCCAGCACAGTGTACACTTCTTTAGTCAAAATTTTAGGCCTATAAAAGTATAAAACAAGTAGTTCCAGATAGAGTCAAGCTTGTCCAGAAAAACACTGCGTCACTTCCCTTCTTGATAGAGTCACATAAGATTAAAAAGATTGGAGATAGGGCTTACTCTGTTGAATCTAGGGAGCAAGAGTACAAGAAAGGACTAGACCACCTTGGTCAAGCCATGCTCAAGTAGAACTTTTCTTATTTTCTAGGACCGTTAACAAACGTAAATCTACTCAAGCCAACACTCAGGTCCTCGAGAACCGCATAAAGATGCTCCAAGAGTCTGAGAAGAAGGAGCAGGCTCGAATGAAAAGACTTGAAGATCAGATGAATAAATTCTCTCAGATAAGACAATCCCATTTCGATCATAAGACAATGCAACAGAAATAGCAAAATGTAGGCTTCTTTTCATCTTCTAGCCAGATGGAGATCGGAACTAGGAAGAAGAAGGACCAAGTTCAGAGGTTCAAGAGGGAACTTGAGCATCGGATAAGTGAAAAGCGTGAGGAAATCCTCCTACAAAAGTAACTTTGAATACCTTATCTCATTCTTAGCCGTATGAAGAAGGAAGCCGTTAGCTTTGAGCTTGATCGAGTTAGACACTTTAACAACGACTGCAGTACTTTTCCTATGGACTTTTAGAAACAAGATTCGGTAAACTCAAGATCAAGGAGGAAGGAGGCTCCGAATATGAGCGTAGAATGGTTAGAGAGAAGCAACGCATCAAGATGAATAAAGAGAGAGTCAGAAAAATGGAAATCGTTGAACAAAAATTGCTCGAACGGTATGCTTTCATTACTATTTCAGGCTAAATGACACTCAAAGCCGTAGAAAAGTCATGTACGAAAATTTTATTCAAAAGACAATGGGAACCAAAACTATGAGGGAGCAAGAGATGTCCTACCGTGATGACTCACCTGTTGATATCAGGCTTCAGAACTCCTCTAGTAATTTTCAGAAATATGGTACTTTTGCAAACTAAATGTAATAGCAGAGCCAAGTATGTAGACTATGGGCAAATTGAGATAAGGAAAACTTTATTTAGGGCCATTTTAAAAGTTAAGTAATATCTATCTTCAACCCTACTGAAACATCCTGGGGTTTTGGGGTTTTGGGGTTTTGGGG